GCCCCTTCCCCGCTCGCATGCGCACACTAGCACTCACTCTCAAAAGAAAAAAAAAAAGGTTATGGGGAAAGAGCTTTTTTAAATCAGGAGGAATGGAAACCAAAGACAGGAATTTTAAAAGAATTGTAAAGTAACTTTTTCTTTCAAATCTGCAACTACCTCCCAGGGAGTCCTCTCAGTAGGTACCAAAAAAAGGCATCTGTTCCTAAAAATAAAACCTCTTAGCACAATAGGAATAGGTGAATATTTCCTTATGAGAATAATTATTCTTTGATCTCCTAGCCAAAATTCTTTCTTAGTAGTAGAATAATAAAAAAACAATGAAACATACACACATACATGCAGTGGAGTAAGGTTAGAAGAGTCCGCTAACAAAGTAGATGTATAGACATTCCCACGGGAAGGTTACAGGCGTACTCAGTGACAAAAGCCAGGTATAGGATTCATAGGCATAGCGTGAACCCCTGCGTGTAGATAAATTTAAAACTGATTTCATTGTATATTTGCACATACATAAATATAAGCACAAAGGTCTCAGGACACGTGTCTGACTGGTAAGGAAAGGGAGAAAACGGTTTTCTCTTTTTAGTTTATTTTGCTCTGACTTTGCCTATATGAGTATTTTGCTATGTGGACGCATTACTGTGTCATTCGTATAATATGTGCATGTGGGCACACATGGGTATATGCACTCTCAAAGCCAAAGCTAGCAGCCTATCAAATGATAACATGCAAAATGTATTTCCATTTTTGAGTGGAAAATGAGAAAAGCATGCTCACTCTTGGATTGCTTATTTGCCATTGTTTTGGAAATTATTAGCCAGTGTGATTAGACAAAAGGAAGAAAGAAGGGGCATAAATAATTGGAAAGGAGGATGGGGCACCTGAGTGGCTCAGTCAGTTGAGCATCCGACTCTTGATTTTAGCTTAGGTCATGATCCCAGGGTCAGGGGATCAAGCCCCGCTGTCGAGTGCGTGCACTCTCTCTCTCTCAGAGATAAAAAATAATAAAAATAAATAGCTAAAAATAAATAAATAATTGGGAAGGAGTAGGCAAAAATGATCATTTGTTGGAAATGAAATGATTAAATTCTACCTGGAAAGCCACAGAGAAATTTCATTGACACTTAGAAACAGCAAATAAATATGTATACATTATATGCATGTAGAATTCTATAAACGAGTTATTTTGGGAAAGCTGCTTACAGGAATTTTTAATAAATGGTTGTCTCTGAGGAGTAAGGAGGGGTTGGAGGGGAAACTTGCTTTGTAAATTTTTTCACTTTCACTTTTAAATGAAATTTTGTATCATGTTTATGTGTTAATGTAGCAAAAAATAAGTAGCTTAAAAATGAAGTAATCTTCTTTGAATAACTTTTATTATCTTAATATTTAATATTTAAATATTATTTAAATATTTCAGTATTTAAACTTTTATTTGAATAATAGCTATTCCCCTAATAATCAAGATAAGACAATTAGGAATACTTGGACAAACGTAAAATAAAAGGAGAAAATAGAAAACCCCAGAAAAAGGTAACAGATTGGAAAATATGAAACAAAACATTTTGTAACAAAACAGCACATTTGTGATTACAAGGGAAATAAAGCATGCAAAAAAAGTATTTGCTGTGGCCAGATTACAAGGAAAGGGCTTGAGTGTGACTTTAGGGGAGCCAAGGATTTGAAGCAGAGGAATGACATAAGACTTTCCAACAAGCCCTCTAGGTGATTTTAATATTTATCCTTTGTTGAGGACAACCACTTTATACATTTATTGTGGTTTATATATTACTATTTTAAGATTATATTTTTAAGTAATCTCTACACCCAGCGTGGGGCTTGAATTTGCAACCCAGAGATCAAGAGTCGCCCGCTCCACTGACCGAGCCAGCCAGGCCCTCCTGTTTATTATTTTGTATTGAAATTACTCCTGGGGCACCTGGCTTGCTTGGTGGTGGGGCACGTGACTCTTGATCTTGGGGTTGTGAGTCCAGGCCCCATGTTGGATGTAGAGATTACTTTAAAAAAATAATAAAATCTTTCTCAAATTCCACATATGAATGAAACCATATGATATCTGTCTTTCTCTAACTTATTTCGCTTAGCATAATACACTCTAGTTCCATCCACGTTGTTGCAAATGGCAAGATTTCATTCTTTTTTGTCACTGAGTAGTATCCCATTGTGTGTGTGTGTGTGTGTGTGTGTGTGTGTGTGTGTACGTATATATACACGCGTATATACGCATATATACATATATGGACGTATACATACTACATCTTTATCCATTTATCAGTCAATGGACACTTGGGCTCTTTCCATAATTTGGCTATTGTTGATAGTGCTGCTGTAAACATTGAGGTGCATGTGCCCCTTTGAATCAGCATTTTTGTATCCTTTGGGTAAATTCCTAGTAGTGCAATTGCTAGGTTGTAGGGTAGTTCTGTTTCTAAGTTTTTGAGGAACTTTGAGGAACCTCCATGCCGTTTTCCAAAGTGGCTACCGCAGTTTGCATTTCCACCAACAGTGCTAAAGGGTTTCCCTTTCTCTGCATACAAAACTCAACAGATTAATATGCAGGAAGGGAAGGAAAAATAAGATAAAAACAGAGACGGAGGCAAACCGTAAGAGACTCTTAAATACAGAGAACAAACTGAGGGTTGCTGGCAAGGAGGTGGTAGGGGATATGTGAAATGGGTGATGGGCATTAAGGAGGGGACTGTTCAGGATGAGCATTGGGTGTCACATGTAAGAAGTGAATCGATGGGTTCTACTCCTGAAGCCAAGACTGCACTGACTGTTAACGAACTTGAATTAAAAAAAAAAAAAAAATCTTTAAAAAATAAAAAAAGAAATTACTCAATACTCGGTCTTCCTGGAGGGCAGGGACCATGTTTTCTTAATCTTTAGCAGTTACGACAGTCTATGGCTTCAGTAAATGTTACCTGAGTGAAACCGAGATCTATTGAGGAGTGGATGCTGCAGGACCACTGGATCTAGAGGCTGTAGAAAGGTTGTAGAGTGGTTCCTGTCTTCAGGTATTCATTCATTTATTTATTCAATAAATTTTATAAAAGCAGCTGCTCCTTGCCAGGTGGTATGCTGAGGTTACACAAGAACTACAATAGCTCTTACTTTTGAGGGATTAGAGGGAAAGGCAGATGAGCTGGGACTTAACACAGATGTGCTAAGTGTGAGAGAACCACTCCTAGCATTGCTGGGGTCACAGAGGACCGCCCCTCCCAGCCTCTGCAGGTGGGAGTCAGGAAGAGCGGGAGGGCTCCCGTCTGCTTTCCCCTTAAAGACTGAATGAGTTGGCCAGATAACATGGGGAAGGGAGAGGAAGATGGGCCGAGGCCAGAAAGAACAGTCTGGTATTGGGTGTGTGGCAGGACCTGTGTGCAGAGCAAACCATAGGTAAGTATTTCTGGGTCTCAGTTTTTATGCATTTAATAATATTTATTGATTCATTTATTTTCGAGAAACTTGATTTAAAGGTGGAAAGATAGGAGGCTGAAGAGGAAAGGAGGCACTAGATCATTGAGAACCTTATTTGGTAAGGTTGAGACTTTGGACTTTATCTTCAGGTGGTGGGAGCCATTGAAGGATTTTAAGCCAGCCTGGGATTTGTGTTTGGGATGGCTCCTTTAGGCAGCTGTGTGGAGGAGGGGCTGGAGGGTACAGGGCTATGGAGTTAGGGAGATCCTGGGGAGACCGCTGTGGTCATCTGAGTGAGAGAATAAAGTCTGAGCAGGTCAGCACGGGATAAGGTACAATTAAGTGTTTGGCAGGAAAAACGGGCAGTACACTCGGTAATTGACTGGATGTGGAGAGTGTAAGAGAAGGGAAGAGTCCAGAGTGACTCCCAGGTTTCTGTTTCTGCTGGTGCCACCAGTGGGACAGAGTACAGGAGGATAAGCAGGCTTGGCATGGACAGATGGTCCTTCTCCGTGAGGTGACGGCTGAAAATGTGAAATGCAGGAAGAGGCTTGGGACAGAAGCTGAGTTTAGCTGTGGCAGTGAAACAGCAGGTGGGGTAGCCGGGCAGTAATGTGGTAGACAGTCCAAAACTACAGGGGTAAAGTGTGGGCCTGGAAACTCGAGCATGGTTGAAGCTTGGGCGAAGGTGCAGAATGGACCAGACGAGGGTTAAAGATGGAACCCTGCCCATGAAATCTAACAAGCTGGGAGAAGCGAAGGAACACATTAAGAAGCCAGAGGAGGAGAGAAGTGGGAGGGAAACCGGAGGGAGGGTACTTCTGCGAGCCGTGGGAGGAGGCAGATTTTGCAAAGAATTGCTTCAGAGTTTCAGATACCACAGAAAGGTCAGATAAAATAAAGATCCGACTGTCGATTAGATTTGGCAGGTAAGGTGTTATTGGTGACCTTGGCAAGAAGTTTCAGGAGAGAGAGAGAGGAACAGAAACCAAATTGCAGTGGTTGAAGAAGGAGCAGGAGGTCAAGTGGAGATGGACCATGCAGGCGGTTCTTTTGGGAAGAAGCAGAGCTGAGGCCCGAGGAGGAAGAGGCTTTATGGCCTTACCAGGAACAAAAAGACTACTGGCTTTTCTTCTATGTAAAAGAAATGATTATGTTATTTCCCAGTTAATTTTATAAAGAACATTGTGTGGTTCTCTGCTATGTTTCCAAAAATTATTACCAAAATCAGGCAGAGCTGTACGCTACTTTAAAGAAGCAAAGTGGCCTTATCTTCAGACAAAAATTATGTGTAGCCTCTGTCCGTAGGTCGAAAGGCATGGCAATACATTGACAGATGATTGTGCAGAGCCGAATCCTTTAAAGAAGTAACTGAAATTCCCGAATATTTTTCGCTTTACGCTTGGTGATTTCTTTTTTTCAGAAAAGAGTTCTGGCCTGTAGGTATTATTTGATTTTCGTTTATTTTAATAATAAATATTTCAGCAGTGTAATATCACTGTAGTAATAATCATGTACGTGGTCAGATTTAATTTATGTAAGATTGCATTTCATCGCAGGTACTGATGATATTGTAGGTCCTGAAGGCATGGAGAAATTTTGCGAAGACATTGGTGTTGAACCAGAAAATGTAAGTCTAGCCTATTAAGTTGGGCAAATCGGTTGATTATTTTTCTTGTCTTTTGTCCCTTGACAAATAAAGCAACAGTAAAGAAGGAATGGTGTGTTAGTTTTGTGAGGCAATCTAAGAAACAAGTTCCAATTCTAATTGGATTTCTAAGCAAAATTTTTTTGTTTTAATTGGCATGGTGTAACTAGTCAGTCATGTTTTCCTCTTGTTTGTTTCTTGTATCTAAAAGGTACGATAGTAAAGTAATTAAACTAGATGTTTAGAAAATGTTATGGGCATGTGTACCTCCCGTGAGAGATGAGCTGGGGGGGCCGAGTCATAGTCTATTCTGTACCTTTGTCCCCCTCCCTAGTTGTTCAGCATAATGTAGAGTTTGTCCAGATTTTTGAGTAATTATTCATAGGGGTTTGGAATAAGTTGTAATTATCAAGAATCTTTCATAGCTCTTTCACTTCCGATTAAATTTAACTCAGGGATTGCTTTTTAGTATAAAGGCCTTAAGTATTTCCTTTAAAAAATTTTTTTGAGAAGTTATTTTATATGCTTAATTATTTTTCCCAACTCTTATCGTCATGTTATTGTTGAATATTTTTTTCCTGTTCCTACATAATCTCTCTTACACTAAAATGAAAAGTTATGCTCATACAGGTGCCCTGGTTCATTAACTATGCAGTTTAATATTGCATTAGCCTCCAATTTAACAAATATGTCTAAGGTCCTAGATGAGTTTATGATGGGGAAGAGATCACAAGAGATCATCCCCCTCGTATAGACTCTTCTTGGAAGATAGGTGCTGCCCATGCACATATGTCATGCTCTTAAAACTGGAAATTAAGACTTCACACTTTGGGGGCGCCTGGGTGGCTCAGTCGGTTGAGCGTCCGACTCTTGGTTTCAGCTCAGGTCATGATCTCACGGTTTGTGAGCTTGAGCCCCGCATCGGGCTCCGTGCTGGCAGAGAGGAACTTGCTTGGGATTCTCTCTCACCCCCTCTCTCTGCCCCTCCCCCAGTCGCTCTCTCTGTCTCTCTCTCAAAAATAAATAAATAAACTTTAAAAAATTAAAAAAAAAAACAACTCTAAAGACTTCACACTTCATTCTTAAAACTTTTCTTACCCTTGACATTTGTATGCCTCTGTCCTCTCCCAACTCCCTCCAACACCTTACATTTTCTAAAGAGCTTTTTGCTCATTACATGGATTTTTGTCTTGTGGTTTTTATTTTAATGTGATCTAGTTCAGTATCTTAATGAACTATTCATTGGGGCGCCTGGGTGGCGCAGTCGGTTAAGCGTCCGACTTCAGCCAGGTCACGATCTCGCGGTCCGTGAGTTCGAGCACCGCGTCAGGCTCTGGGCTGATGGCTCAGAGCCTGGAGCCTGTTTCCGATTCTGTGTCTCCCTCTCTCTCTGCCCCTCCCCCGTTCATGCTCTGTCTCTCTCTGTCCCAAAAATAAATAAAAAACGTTGAAAAAAAAAATTAAAAAAAAAAAATTAAAAAAATAAATAAATAAAAAAATAAAAAGCTAATGAACTATTCATTTTGGTATAAAGGTTTGGGGAGAACTGCCAGTAGTATTTTGTCTGATCTTGCCCATAGACTAGTCATAAGCATAGAAAAGAACACTTCAGGGGCACTTGGTGGCTCAGTTGGTTGGACGTCCGACTTTGGCTCAGGTCATGATCTCGTGGTTTGTGGGTTTGAGCCCCTTGGCAGGTTCTGTGCTGAAAGTTCAGAGCCTGTAGCCTGCTTCGGATTCTGTGTCTCCCTCTCTCTCTGCTCCTCTCCTGCTCGTGCTCTGTCTCTCTGTCTCTCTCAAAAATAAACAAACATTTTTTTAAAAAGATTAAAAAAAAAAAACAACACTGGCTTATGAAAGAAGTTTCCTGATGACAGCTGGGCCAACGTTGGCAGAGTGTTTTCTGGACTGAATAATAAGAGGGGCAAGAGTGAGTTGGACCTGAGAACAGACCCAAAGCTTCTCTCCCTCTCTCTCTTAAATTTTTATTTAGTTTTGGGAGAGCGCAAGCTGGGGAGGGACACAGGATGGGGACGGGATCCGAAACAAACTTTGCGCTGACAGGCTGACAGCAGCAAGCCTGATGTGGGACTCGAACTCACGAACCACAAGATCATGACGTGAGCCAAAATTGGATGCTCGACCAACTGAGCTACCAAGGTGCCCCAGACCCAAAGGTTCTGCCCAGGGGACTGTCATCAGCATGTGATCAGAGGTGGGCAACAGGGCCGGAAAGGGAGGAGATTGGGAGGCCAGGGTCAGGCTGCAGGTGTGAGAGGCACTGTCTGAACATTTATTCTCAGAGGCCCGGAGGCCTGTCAGGTGGGAGGGAGGGCTGGTGTTGATTCTAACTGAAGAAAGGCACAGTTCTTCAAATAGCAGTACTCCGTAACAGAGAGCTGCTGTTATTATCCTTTTGGGGGGCAATGGTGTCCCTTAGTCTCCTCTTAGGAATAGAACTAGACTTAACATGTTGAATCACATTGAAGATGAGGAAACTGAATTCAGAAGATTATTCTAAAGTATTTATTACTGTACTTCAGTTCTAAGCTGCCATTAATAGAAGTTGTATATCATCACTAAGAAAGAAAAAATGTTGCTAAATAAACTCTGATATGCATCCATTTGGAATGCATCCCAATTTCAGAAATGTTAACATTTGAAAAATAAGAAGTAAAATTGTTTTTAAAGCCTTGTCCTCATTGTTGAGTTAGCACTTTCAAATACTTTAAAGTACTTAAAACCTTCACCTTGCCTGATACTTATAGCCTAGGAAATTTAAGCAGGTTTGTAAAATTCAAATCTACTGTCATTTACTATGGCCACAGCAAAACCTTTTGTTTGCCTAATTAGCTTCCTTATTAGCTACCATAAGAAAAGTCCATTTTGTGTAAAGAAATACTCATCGTGAATATCTACTTTGACTTTTTAGCCACATTTCATGCATACTTGTGTGTGTTTCTGTGCCCTAACCATTTTTTTTTTTTAATTTAACAAGTGTTTATGTGGAACTTTAAATCTTTCTTATTGAGCATTTAGTATATATATTGTTTGAGAACATAGGAAGTTTGAGTTCTAGAATGTGGGTTAGGGGCGCCTGGGTGGCTCAGGCGTTGAGCCTCTGACTCTTGATTTTGGCTCAGGTCATGCTCCACATCCGGCTCAGTGCTGACCATTCAGAGGCCACTTGGGATTCTGTCTCTCTTCTCTGCCCCTTCCATGTGCACACGTGCTCTCTTTCTCTCTCTCTCTCTCAAAATAGTTTTTTTAAAACTGAAAATGGGGGTTATTTCACCTAGGTAAATTGTTATGTGGGAGTCAGAATTCCAAGAAAAGCTGAGGGATGAGGGGAAATCCACTAATGTGTAAATATTTGGAAGAACATGTGTGCTCTTTTGGGGAAGTTTAGGTCTCTTAAGTTAAAAAATTTTTAACGTAGGGGCGCCTGGGTGGCTCAGTCAGTTGAGCTTACAGCTTCGGCTCAGGTCATGATCTTGTGGTTTGTGGGTTTGAGCCCCGTGTTGGGTTCCATGCCGACAGCTCAGAGTCTGGAGCGTGCTTCAGATTCTGTGTCTTGTCTCCCTCTCTCTCTGTCCCTCACCTGTTCATGCTCTGTCTCTCTCTGTCTCAAAAATAAATAAACATTAAAAAAAACTAAAAAAAATTTTTTAACCTATTAAGCAATGCTGTTTTGTGATGGTGTGCATATGTAGAAACATTGGTTTACTAATCAGTGCTAGTAATCTACCTAGTAATCTAGATTGTTTAATCTAAAAAACCTAGTGACTTTAAAAATTGGTATGTACTGATTTAATTGAGATTTGATGAAAGGGCTTAGAGATTCAGTGGGTTCTCACTGCTAATCACTTCTAACATGGAAAACCATAGAGTCAGCATCAAGAGAAAGCTTTTCATTAATCTTGCAGCTATAAATTAGACAAAGCTGGACATTTTTAGTCCACAAGCTAGCTTGCTGGCAAACGCAAGGACCGACTTTCTGAACCTCCTAAATAGTATTGTTCTGCAGTACTTAATTTGTGTAGTGGCTTTCAGAGGCCAATTAAATCATCTGGAGTGATTTCTAATTGACTGCTTGCCTTACTTTTTTCATGTTACATCATCCCGATTCCTTTTACCACCGTCGCCATCTGACCCAGTGGGGCACGTGGGTGATAGATTAATGGTTGGGTTGGTTCTTCCAGCCGTCGAAATGAAGCCTTCAGGTCCTGTGTAAAGAAATCAAATTAGCTGCCAAATGTGGAACATGCTAGTCCCTGGCCAATTTTCACAGGTCTATTTTCTTACCATTGATTTTTTGTTTGTTTGTTTGTTTGTTTGTTTTGTTACAACAAATGGAGATGTAGCCATTTAGCAGTGAATATGTGATCCCCAGGTCAGGACTTGGATGTCCGTTAGGTGTGGACAATGTCCTGAGGCACACAGTCCCACAGAGTGGCAGGATGGTCCTCGGAAATCCCTGTCCCTCTTCTTTACCCTCTTCTTGGATGGATGGCCTCAGCTCTTTCCCTCTGCAGAGCCCTGGATAGTTGGAAGCTAGATGCGCTTTTGAAATGTAATTTTGTCTTTACTCCTTCAGGTGTTTATTAAACTCGCTGGCAGTATCTCTGTGTCATCTTTTCTCTAAAGCAGCTAAGTGACAAGCAGTGCCATAAACTAGAGTTGTTACAGTTCCTGATGCCTACAGAGTTTCAGAAGATTCACTAAAAGCAAGAGTGGCGCCCCGCTGAGAAGTGATTGGGTCACTCATCCTGTGCTCATTCCAGGCACAGCGCTATTTAAGTGGGATGTGGGGCCACTTCACAATAATTTTCTTCAGTGTGTATAGTTCAGCTCACGAACACTAATGTATTTGTGGTACAGCTGCATTATTGTGTATGACTCACCACTTGCCTTTTTATTTTTCAGCCCTCTGATCTACAGCTTGCTCTTTTCACTAAATCTTGGAGATTGTTCCCTGTTTGTACTGATAACTCTACTTCATTTGTCTTAATGGCAGCATAGTATTCCTTTGCATAGAAAGTATTCAGCAAGGAAGTATATACTTAGTCCCTGATTAATGTTGGGTTGTTCTCAGTCTTTTGCTGCTATAAATAATTCTGCAGAAAATATTGTTGAATATACATCTTTGTGTTCGTGCACAGGTATAAGTTATAATATAACTTTCCTTAAGTGGAATTGCTGAGTCAAACACTGGTTTTAATTTTGATAAATACTGCAGAATTGCCCTGTGGAGAGGTTAATGGCTTTACATTTCCACCATTCTGCATCATAAGAGTTCATGTCTCCCCAAGCCCTTGTCAGCAGATGAATTACCAAACTTTTGGATGTTTCCCAGCCTAGAACTCATTTTTGAAGTTACCCTGTTGATATTTCCGTGACTAAACTGCGGCGAGCAGAAGCATTTGGAGAGTTGTTAATATGATTAATTACTGAGATCTGTCGTTCTGATTTGATTGGTCTGTTTTTTTGTTTGTTTTTATACAGGTAGTTATGCTTGTCCTAGCTTGGAAATTGGATGCACAAAACATGGGTTATTTTACTCTGCAGGAATGGTTAAAAGGAATGACTTCTCTACAGTAAGTCCCGCGGCTGCCCTGGTCGGGAGGCGGGGTGGCGTCCTTGCACTCCCCAGCTGGCTGCCTCCTCCCTGGCGGGTCAGGAGCCTGGGTTGGGTGACTGCAGGAAAGCCGGGTGATCTGGCAAACTTCACCTGTGGCTGTAGGTGTAAAGGCCAAATCCCATTTTCATGATGAAGAGAAGACAGTATGCATGAAGTTTTGCAATTATAATTTTTATATAATGTGTATTGTTTATTTTAGTATTCTTCTAGAGCAGAGCTGCCCAATAGAAAATAGACCAGCCTCTCCTCTTCTCACAGATGTGAGCTACATATGTAATTTTAAATTTTCTAGCCGTCCCATTAAAAAAAAAGTTAAAAGAAACAGGTAAAGTTAATTTTAATATATTTTATTCAACTCCAGATATCCAAAATATTATTATTCAGACATATAATCAATATTTTCAAAATTTATGAGCTGTTGTACATTCTTTTTTTCATATTAAGTCTTCAAAATCTGGTACATATTTTACATTTATGATCCCTCTCAGTTTGCATTAACTGCATTTCAAGTGCTTGATGGCCATGTGTGTCTAGTGACTGTCATATTAGCACAGGTTCAGAGCTTAAAAAGCAAAGGCCTATCAGCATCTGGTTTACAGTTAGGGAGAAAAAGTTGACTGAAGTTTAACTTATAAATGAAAATATGTATTTTATATATTCTGATTTTACCTTTGGGCAAAATTGGAACTTCATTACTCCAGTGGTTAAAAAATAATAATAAAGAGTCTATTTGTGTTACCCAGAATGAGAAAAAAAACAGTGGTTTTATGTGTTCATTGTGTGTGTGTGTGTACACAAAGTTTCATTCAAGTAAACAGTTGTTACTCTGTATTCTGAATTGAAGGATACAGTTGAGATGGGTAAGTAAATATTTCAGTGGTACCTGAAGATGAAGAGCAGATTATTAACACAGTAACTTTGATCTACGGAATGACTCTTTTTTTTTTTTTTACTTTTCCTAGGAATAATAGACTTTGACATGTACTGGATTGAAATTGGAGTGGAAATGGTTTTATGGTTTTATTCAAATAATTTTGGAATTTGCCAAAATTGTTATCCATTTGTTATTGATAACAATGCTTTATTTGCACCATGCTTTAGTAGTTCATAAGTCATTTTGCTGCTTTTCCATTTGAGCCTCACGGCTGCCTTCCTTGTGAGGAAGACAAATCAGGCTTTATCCTGCACATTTTACAAATGAGGAAACTGAGGCTTAGAAGGGACACATGGGATACATGATGTGTTAAAGTAAGTGGCAGAAATGGGAAGAAAACCCAAGACTTCTGATTTTTTTTTTTTTTAATGTTTATTTTGAGAGAGAGCACAAGCAAGCAGGGGAGTAGTAGAGAGAGAGGGAGAGAGAGAATCCCAGGCAGGCTCCACACTCAGCACAGAGCCCGACGTGGGGTTTGATCGTAACCGGAGATCATGACCTGAGCCAAGTCAAGAGTTGGATGCTTAACTGACTGAACCACCCAGGTGCCCCAAGACTTCTGATTCTTAAGTCGCATTCTTCCTTTAACAACTGTTGTCTGATGGCAAATGAGTTTTAGATAAAGCCATACACTTTCCTGTCATCATGCTCTAGAATTTTAGGGTTAAGTCCTCTGAAATCTCTTTAAAAATTATGCTTGTCATGTTGGGAACATCTCCTTAACAATTTTAAGTCTACTGACTTTCACTGTTTCCCCCCCTGCCTTTCCTAACTGCCTTCTGAATACAGCACATAATGGCTGCACTTTTTAAAGGGGGGCCCGTGTAATGATGAATGCATGGCCATATCAAGATTTTATTTCAAGCCTTCAGAGGAGGCACCATTAGTATGTTTCGGGCACATTTTCATTTGTCTTAAGAGGCTATAATATCCATTTTTAAGTAATTCTAGATTATTTTTTACATTTGCCTTTACAAAAGAATGTTACACACTGCCGGGCCTTTCCCTTGCGTTTTGAGGGCCACACCACCTGGGAAGTATGCAGTTACCTGGGAAGTATGCAGTTTCCTGGGAGGTCTATGTAAGTTCAGGGAGGGCAGAGGGGAATTGCAGGGACCCCACCCCGTAGGTTCTTTGTTGGGAACCCTGCTTGCCACTCAGTGTGACACACACGGGGGCAGTTGGGTTCCTCTAGGGTACTGCCACTTGGTCCTTGTAGTTCAAGATGAGGTGACAAGCTGGGTCCACTCTAAGGGCAGGGAGGAGCCTGCTTTCTTCTTGTGTGATACGAAACTCGGAGACTGGTTTCCTCATCAATGAGGAAGAGATCATTACTCAGAACAACCTTTAAGGTTCTCTATAGTTCAGAATAGTCGAATTGCAAGTTTTAAGAACCTCCACTCCCCCTCCCTTAACCTCCCTAGATTCATTTGTTCAGCAAGTGTTTGGATGGCAGCGATGTGCCAACTGCAGTATTCTACATCCTGGGGAAATAAAACTCACGAGCAAGACAGTCCTTTTGGGGCAGGGGCTCAGAAGCAAAGTTCAGCCAAAAGATCCAAAAATAATAAGGCCACTTCTCTTTATGCTTCTCGAATTGATTACATAAATACTGTATTTGTAAGGCGTCCATACCCGGTAAATAAGAATACTCAGAGACGAATATGCTCTAGAGATAGAAAGTAGTCTGTCTACTGAATTGCCTGTTTTGTCTTCTAGTTTGGATTTTTGTCTTTTTTGCCCTTTTTTGGTTTCATTAAACCTGTCCAGTGAAGTGTTTTGAGCTCAATCTGGAATTAAAGTGTATGTGGCAATCCCTGTATTTATAATAGAATATTCGATTAAGATGCTAAGTTTGAAGAAAATGGTTACTGGACAGAGGGAGTGGAGACTATGCTCCGCTGCTCCCTGGGTGTCTCTGGCAGCACGTCTAGAACCAGGAAAGGGAAGTGATGCTCTGTGACTCCCACCTGGGCTCTCAGAACTCCATCTCCTGGACACTGGGGAGGGGAGCGAGCTGTGTGCAAGCCCCACCAGGGCCAGTGTTTTGGAAGTGCTGGAAGGCGTGACGGAGGGCATCTGGCGGGGGTGGGGGGGCCGATATGTTCATTCCACGTTCTGTAGCTCATTCTCAGTCAGGAGAAGGCACAACTCATTTCAGTGGACTGTTTGTTCTATCGCCTTGTTCCAACACGTGGGTTTAAGGTTACTTCTAATGAATCAAACTTACAAAGCTGTTTAAGCTAAACAAAAGTGTGTTAGACTTGTAGCTTACTTTGCATAGAAGTGAGGATTGGCTGGAAAAATACCTTTGGCTAAGTGAAGGGGTGAAGGCCTTTCCCCAGGGAATGGAGAACTCCTTTTGGTTTTAACCTTTGGTGCTTATTGTCCCGATTTCTGGTGCTTCTGAATCTGTAACAGGAGCAGAAGTCACGGAAGAAATGATCTCACAATATGGCCACGTTTTGTTTTGGAAAACGGTGCTCTTGAGCGGTGTGGCACTATGTCACTCAGAAACTAACAGGAGTTTTCTTACGTGTGATACACTGGAAAGCAGGGGTGGGGAGGGGGGAGGGGGCAGGGGGGAGGCTGAAGATGTGGCTGCTTCCTGAAGTCCCAGGCTGGTTTGCTTCAACTTCCCGACAAGCCAGTTTCTTCACTTGATCTTGTTGAGTGGCCACTAGATGGCAACCTGTAGTTCGGACCGGGTGACTCAGAGGCGTGTTCCCTGCTGGGGGTCACTCCAGAGGCTCTGTGGGTCAGGGCCCTCCCCCCCTTTTTAAAAAAAAAAAACAAAAAAACGTTTATGTATTATTGAGAGACACAGCATGAGCATTGGATGGGCAGAGAGAGGAGGAGACACAGAATACGAAGCAGGCTCTGAGCCATCGGCACAGAGCCTGATGCAGGGCTCCAATTCACAAACCGCAAGATCATGACCTGAGTTGAAGTGGGATGCTTAACCTACCGAGCCACCCAGGCGCCCTGGGGCAGGGCCCCTTTTAAAGCAGATTAAACTCTTTATTGATGGTAATAGCTCTGACATGTGTAACTGTCTTTATTACATACGTAAAGTGAAAATTTTACTTTGGTATTTTATGCTTTATACTCCAGACAGGAGATCTGAGCGTCTTAAGACAAATGAAAACGTCTTTCAGGGGACATCTTTTGCCAGGGTGGCAGCTAGACTCCCAGGCATGCTAACGAACTTCCATTTTGCCTTGCGGTTCTACCCAAAGACTCATGGCTACATTATTTTCTTTTAGCTATGTAGCAGATGTCTAAGTGAGTGCTCTCTGCCCTTGAATCTGTTGAAACAGACATCTGTTCTTCTTCCTCTCATTGGACAGGACTAAACTAACCCCCCTGCCAAAATCTGGCCAATTTCCTGTGGCTTTGGTCCTTAACCTTCCTTTCCAGTGAAGAGGAGAGACCTCGGCCTTAAATGTTTCGGGGTTAGCTGGTCTCTCTCCTCTTTGACCCTCTGCCATATTATTAATAAAGTATCATTAGTTATTTATGTATACAGTAAAAAATCAAACCATACAGTAGAGTCCCCAGTGCAGAGAAGGCCCTGCTCCCTTCCTGCCTCCTAGACTCCAACTTCCTGCTTTCTCGTGTGCCCTGTTAGCTTCTACCAGCCCTCTTTTGGGGGTTGGTGCTAGATCTCTAACTAGGCTATCGGCATCTCTCTTTTTTTTCTTCCCCAGCCTTTCTCCACAGAGATTCAGAGTGAATTTTTCAAGATGCAAGCCTGATTGTGGTCTCTCCCATGGTTGGAGGTAGCTTCCAGTGTTTCTAGGATTCAATTTAAAAAACAAAAAACAGTATGGACCACAAAACCCTTTATGGCCTGGCCTCACCTCCCTTTCAGCCTTATCCTGGAACCACTTCCCCTCTTACTCTCTTCTGTTTGGTCACAGTGGGTTTCTTTAGTCTTTGAGCTTGGCATGCTCCCTTCTGCCACTGGGCCTTTGCGCATGCTGTTCCTTTTATCTGGAAAACCCTCTGCTCCAGAAATATCCTGTTTCTGCTCTCAGCCATTAGCTAACATTTCAGTCCCTTAAAGAAGCCTTTTCTGACTTCTTAAAACAGTTTTTTTTTTTTTTTAACATTTATTCATTTTTGAGAAACAGAGCACAAGCAGGGGAGGGGCAGAGAGAGAGGGAGACACAGAATCAGAAGCAGGCTCCAAGCTCTGAGCTGTCGGCACAGAGCCGGACGCGGGGCTCGAACTCACGAACTGGGAGATCATGACCTGAGCCGCAGTCAGATGCCCAACCGACTGAGCCACCCACGCCCCTGCCTTTTCTGACTTCTAAAACAGTCTAATTGTTATCTTTTTTAGTTTTCAAACATCCGGAAGAAATACAGCACATTCTAAATTGTTGTAGATTCATAGAAGTGAAACATTTACTCTAATTTTTGACTTTTAGGTATTTTATTATCTCAGTAGATTATGGGGGAATATTTTGTAGTTAGCTACAAAAAGAAACCTTTACAAATTTATTGCTAAAGATAGATCAGTGTGCTGATCTATGATGTGAACGTATGAACGGTGTTTTAGTTTATAAAGTATATAAACTGTTTACGTTGATAATACTTTTACTGTGTATTACTTATGCTTAGTGGTAGGTGAAAGCCCTACAGGGGAACACAAGAAAGCACGTCCAGCATTGAAAAGCTTTGATTTTGCTGATGGAAATGGTGACTCTTGGTTCTCATTTTTAAGGGCTAGATATGAGGAACAGAAAATTAGTTTGTAAAATTAGCCAATCAGTCTGCTTCCTTAGGAAGAATAAACAGTGTGTCCCTTACCTGTAAAAACAGGTTTTCATCACCAAAGCTCCCTGGAGATATAGCTGGTTTCAAGTCTAGGGTAGAGAAAGTACAAGGTGAGCTGGAATATCTTGTACCATAAGCAAGGACGTGCTCAGAGACTGGTGGCACATGTCAGAAGGACACTGGCACCAGCTTGAATGGGCCACTGCCCAAATGAGGACGATTTGTGCACCAAAAAGAATAAAGGCAGTAAAAGATTGTAACACTGAATAAAAAGCAAAAATCCTTAAGTCCGGAAAATGCAAAAGGTGGTGAGTAGAACTCTTCTTTATAGAATAACTTCAGCCGGTAAGGGTGATAGAGTCAGAAAAATCACCGTTTTGCATCTTCAAATGTAACGTCGATTCGGGTGGTATCACCAGTGGAGGCTAAAACCACCGGATGGAAGGTTGTTCGGGAACAAGATTCACAGTCTCAAGATATCATCCCATAGATTACATACTGTTTCAGAGGAGGGAAAATACCTGTTCGTGGAGAATCTGGGGGATGTTACCTTAACTGAATGAGTCCATTTACCGTGACTCCTAATGGGACAGACTGACGTTACAAGTCCTCTCGTGGGGTGCACTGAGAAGGGCCTCACAAGCAGTGTTGTCATAACCATTTAGCTTAAGTATAATCAGAGGGAAATTATCTGACAAACGGAGATTCTACAAAACAACCGTTCTCAAAAATGGCATTGTCAAGAAAGAAGAGAGGTGACACCCTTCTGGAGACTAAGGAGATATGACACCTAAAAGCAATACGTGAGCCTTGATTGGATCCTGGATCAAGAAAAAGCATCTGTGAAGAAAATTGAGGGAACACTGGGGAACTTTGTATATGGGTTGTATATTAGCTAAGAAAGTTTACACTGATAGAATATTAGGAGTGATGATGGTATTTAAGTGTTTAGGAGTGAAGTGTCATCATGTTAGTAAGTTACTTTCAAGTGGTACAGAAAAAAGTGCACATGAGAGCACAAATGTGACAATGTGTGTTATGAACTGAGGGGATGGGTATATGAGTGCTTGTTCATTATTCTTTCCGTTTTTCTGTACATTTGAAATTTTTAAAAATCAAAAACGTAGGGAAATGGGTCATCATGAATGTGTTGCAACTCCAGGGTTTTATTGTCTTTTGGTATTCTGTTTCATGTTACTGCCCCAGTTAAGTAAAAAACTCAGGTTATAATTTGCCTTTATTCTGTTTTTCTAGATGTGATACAACAGAAAAACTCAGAAATACTTTGGATTACTTAAGATCATTATTAAATGATTCTACAAACTTTAAACTTATTTACAGATATGCATTTGACTTTGCACGGGTGAGTTCTCTGGAGCCTATCCAGATGTTTCCCTCTCCTCCCGCCCCCCCCCCCTTTTTTTTAATTGCCTTTTGAGGTTTGTTTTTACATGCTGCAAGCAAAGAAGGTTGAGTAAGTTACTCCCAGGGTGCTAGTTAGGATTTCTTTCTACATGTACGCTTTCTACACTAACCCTGATTCTGGGCAAAAATGTAGTTTGTTAGCAAAAAGCTATGGTGCCAGACCTTGAATAGCTCTTGCTATTGGCTTAGAAGTAATTTATAAACTGGCATGTAATAGACACTTTTCTGAATGTCTTTTAGATAGGCTTAGAAAAGCTTTTCATTCTCCTGAAACAACAAACCTTCACCCATTGAGTTATTGGAGTAAACTGCAGATCTGATTCTGTTTCACTTCCTGTATTGTATTTGGAAATCGTTTGAATTTCTGACCTAAGCTAATTGCAGTGAACATTATTCAACCCTAATTTCCAGTCGTCATTTTGAAAAGCGAGCATCTTGTTGGTCACATCGTGAGGCTGGGCTAAGTGTGTGACCGCGGTTCTCCTGGAGCGGAATGAAGGCTCAGTTTTTCAGCCTCGTCACCGTAGGCAGTGGATTCTGAGGCACCAGTTGGCATTGTGTTCATTCGCCCGCAGTCCCCAGCCCACACGGCCACACTCCATTCAAGAGCGGTGTCGTGTTTTCTGTTAAGTTGGTGTGTTTGGTGCATTCAGGGCATTGGGCTTGATTGATCGATTGTGATTTAAAGCAGAGAATTCAGTGTCAGGTGACTCCCTTTTTTCTTACCACCACGTTGGTCTTTTTCACTGCTTACGTGCTTCGGCTCTGCTAGTTCCGCACCAGAGGTTTACCCGATGGTGAATTCTGGTGCATCTGCGGTAGCACATGAGTAGTTCTCTGTGGTGTCCTCATTTGTGCATTTTTGCATGTCTCATAACCTTCACATAAAATCCCAACCCGTGAAAGTTTATAGATGTTAGAAATGGTATGGTGAAATGCAAATACAGTGTTCCACCAAATGGCATTAGCGTAATCGTATGCAGAAGTTATTTGCCAGATGCTTTTAGAATAGATACACAGTTTGTAGGATTAAGTATTTCATCCCGCGAGATCGTTTTCCTCCCAAAGTCAGCTGTTTCTTCCTGTTTGGTAAAGTTTGTGTAGAAGCGTTCTACCTTCTCACCAAAGTAAGCCCTGTTTTCCAGCTTTTCTGTTTGGGGGCCAGAGTTGCCCACGTATCTGCCGTAGCCCCGTCGCCGGCCGTGGTCCGTCAGCGCAGCCTGTGCCCCGAGGACTCCTTTGCTCGCCTCTTGTGGCGCCTTCCACCGCAGCCTTGCCGATCCGATCGAGGCCCTCGGTCCTCCTTCTCCTTGCCTGCGCTGCTGTGGTCCCCTTATTCCCGGGCTCTGTCACATCCCTTCCAGCATCACATTAGCAGGGTGCCACTCCTCCACCTTCGGCCCCAGGGTCATTGGGCCGCCTTCCGGCTCGGCGAAGCCTTCGGTTCCCGGTGCCCGGATGTCACGTGGGGCTTCCCCATGCGCCCCCTGCAGCTGCTCTGCAGCCTCTCGAGTGACAGGCAGGGGCGTTTTCCGTCTACTTCACGGAGGAGCAGAGTGGGCCTCGGAGAAGCAGACACATTGCACCGTGGTCACTCTGTCCGCGGCAGTGGATCCAGGACTCAGACCCGGGTTCTGGCCTCAAGTCCAGGCTGCCGGTCACCCCAGGCTTCCTTTCTCCCACGGCGCCTGTGTTGCGGGGAAGTCCAGTCAGCTGAACCTGCCGCCCGCCGTTTTTGGCCTTTCTGCTTTCTGCCTTTCGTCCCTCCGGGCCTCTGCCCGCGTCCTGTTGGTGCTCTCCCAGCTCTCTCCTGCGTCGGGCGCGTGGGCCCAGCCTCCCGGGTCCTCCTGTCCTGGGGGGTCGTGCGCCTTCGCTGCATACCCTGGCGACCTCCTCCGGCTCGGCCGTGGCGTCTGGGTGGCGTCTGGGTACGACAGGCGTTCGTCTTCTCAGACCGAGCCAGAGACTGTGTCTTCTCTTTCTTCGCATCCCCGGTAACAGCCAGCAGAGGTCTTTGCTTTTGGTGAGCATTACCAGTGAATTAATAAGCCCCTTTATGGAAGGTGAAAAGCATGCATATTTAATCATTGCCAAATAGATTCAGTTTGGCTAAAATATGCTCTAAAATGGATTTAAAGATTGTTTTCAATGTTTATTTTTGAGAGCAAGAGAGAGAGCGAGCGTGAACGGGGGAGGGGCAGAGAGAGAGCCGCGCGCGCGCGCGCGCACACACACACACACACACACACAAAATCCAAAGCAGGCACCAGGCTCGGAGCTGTCAGCACAGAGCCCGACGTTGGGCTCAAACCCACGAACGGTGAGATCACGGCCGAAGCTGAAGTTGCACGCTTAACCGAGCCACCCAGGCGCCCCTAAGATGGATTTTTTATTGAATCCTTTGGTTTGCTTTGGTGTATTCAGCTGTATCCCACAAGATTTGAGATGTATGTATTTTCATTTGCACTCAGTTCAAAATGTTTTCTGTTTTCCCTTGTGATTTCCTCTTTGACCACTGGTTATTTACAAGCGTGTTGTTGGTGTTATTTTCCAAGTATTTAGGACTTCCCACATAAGCCTCCTGTTATTGATACCTAGTTTAATTCTGTTGTGGTCAGAGAAGATACCCTGTGTAATTTCAGTTCACTTAGAGGTATGGGGACCTCATCTGTGGTCCAGAATGGTCTCCTGTGATGAATGTGTTATGTGTAAAACACATAAAAAGAATGAATATTCTGCTGCTGTTCGGGGAAGTGTTCTATAAATGTCAGGTCATGTCAGTTGATAGTGTTGTTCGGGTCTTCTGTATCCTTCCTGATGTCTGCCTGCTAGGCTCTGCCCCTCACTGAGAGGGGATTGTTAAGCTCTCCAGCTCTGTTCCTCCTGTTGTTTCTAACATGGATTTTGAAGCAGATACTAACTAGGTTTAGATCTACTTCATGGTGTTCTATGCTCTTAAAGAGTCGACATGTTAGCATCATGAAATGTCTCTTATCTCTGGTAATATTCCTTAATTTGAAGTTTGCTCCTGAGACAAAGCCATTCCTGCTTTCTTTTGATTAAAGTCTGCATGATAGATCTCTTTCCATCCTTTTAAAACTGTAAACCTGTCCATGTGTCTTTATTTAAAGTGGGTTTCTTATAGGTAGGATATAGTTTCTTACAGATACCATATACACAGTCTGACAATACCTGTCTTAATTGAGATGCTTAAACCATGTACGTTGAATGTAATTATTGCTGTGGTTAAATTTACATCTCCTATAGTATTTTTTTTCCTATTTGTCTTACCTGTTTTGTTTCTTTTTCCTTTTTATCATGACTTCCTTGGATTGAGTTTTGTTTGTTTTTTCTAATGATTCCATTTTAATCATTCCATTCCACTATTGTCTTAATAGCTGCATCTCTGTTTCATTTTTCTTGCGGTTGCTCTAGGCTTTACATATACATCTTTAAATTTTCATAGTCTACAAATAATATTCTACTACTTTATGTATAATGAAGAACTTTTATAACAGTAGACTTTCATTTTGCCCTCCCATACTTTCTGCTGCTGTTGTACATTTTACTTATATATATATATATATATATATATATATATATATATATATATATATATATATATATACACACACACACACACACACATGCTATAAATCTCACAATATATTGTCTTACTTAGTCTCTTCAAACTGTTACAACAAGATACCAGAGACTAAGTAGCGGGAATCTATTTCTGTAGAAGGGAGGCTGGGAGATCCAGGATCAAGTTGCCAGCAACATTAGGTATCTGGTGATTGCCTGGAGCCTGATCCTTGAATGGCTGTCTTTTTGCTGTAACCTCACATGGCAGAAAGGAAGAGGGAGCTTCTGGGGTCTCCTTATATAAGCGCACTAATCTCCAGCCTCGTGACCTAACCACTTCCCAAAGCCCACGCTTTCTAATAACCATCACCTTGGGGGTTAGGATGTCAACATACGAATTTTGGGGGAGCCACAGACATTCAGCCCATAGCATACATTGTTACCATTTTTGCTTTAAATAGGCAAAAATATTTTTGATGCACCGTCTTTGTGCTCTTTATTTCTTTTGTGTAGATTCAGATTTCTTCCTGGTATCATTTTCCTTCTACCCAAGAAATTCCCTTTAACATTTTTCATAGTACAGCTTTTCTGGTAATGAGTTCTCTAAGCTTTTAATTTGCCTTCAATTTAGAAAGTGTTTTCTGGGTAAAAGATTTTAGATTGACTATCTAATATTCTTTCAGTACTTTTAACAATCTCTCTCCCTTGGTGTCTCGTATAATTTCTGATAAGTCTGATGTTCATTTTTCCTTTGAACATAGTGTCTTGTTTTGTTTTTTATTCTCTTTTCACTGCTTTTCAGCAAGTTGATTATGATATGCATTGGCATAATTTTCCTTATATTTATTTTGGTTAGGGTTTGTTTAGTTTTTTGAATCTTTGGACATATAGTTTGTGTTAGATTGTGAAGTTGGTCAGCTGTTGTTTCTTCATCATTTTTTCCGTTCTCCTCTGCCCTCTGTCTGGGATTATAGTTACACCTAAGTTAGATGCTCGATACCGTCCCACAAGGCAGTGATGCCACGTTCAGTTTTTTGGGTCCCCCCCCATCCCCTTTGTAATATTTCTTGCTACATCTGCTAATATTAATCTTTTCTTCTGCAGTGTCTACTTCTGTTAATCCTAGCTAGTGTATTTTTAATTTTAAGTACTGTAGTTTTTCATCTTTGTAAGTTCCTTTTGAGCCTTTTTGTATGTTTCTCTCCTCATTATGTGATAATATCTCCTACCTCTTGAATATCTAGAACATGTTTATAACAGTTGTTTTAACAACTTTATCTTCTGGTACCATCATGTATGTCGTTTTTGGGTTTCTTTCTATTGCTTAATTTTTATCTTGATTATGCGTCGTAT